AGGAGAGGGTTCAGTAGGTACGCCACTGCCTTTTTAAATTTTATAAATAGATAAAATAAATTCATTTCAATCTGGGTTTTATATGATATTTTATATGATATAATAATTAACATATACTTGCAAAACAATTTGATTGACGATATTAAGAAGAATTTTTTGGTCATAAATAATTTCCCCTGGGAAAATAATTAATTATTAGCCCCCACTTCAAAGAAGAGGGGGTAAATTGCTTTGCATTTGTCTGGTCGTCGGTCGTAGACTAAATGGTTTTGAATGATAACTTAAGAACCTTTAGGCCCTAGGAACTTCAAAAATAGGTGTGGTGGTTGGTCATGACCAGTTGATGACCGCCTATTGATTTTGGGGTCAAGGGGTCAGAAGTCAAGGTTCATTGCCTTGTAAGTAAAAAAGGTTTCCGATCAATAACTAAATAACGCTTAGGCCTAGGAATTTTCAAACTTGGTTTGGTGATTTGTTCTGACCAGTAGATGCCCCTATTGATTTTAGGGTCAAGTGACAAAGGTCAGGTCACATTGACCTGTAGGTAAAAACGGTTTCCGATAAAAATAAAGAACACTTAACCTTGGAAAATTTCAAACTTTGGTATGATGATTGGTCATGACCAGTAGAGATCTATTGATTTTGGGGATAAGGGGGTTCAAAGGTCAAGGACCACATTGATCTTGTCGGTAAAAACGGTTTTTCCGATCAATAACTAAAGAACGCTTAGACCTAGGAACTTAAAACTTGATATGATGAATTGTTCATGACCAGAGATGACCCTATTAATTTGGCGTCAAGGGGGTCAGTGTCTTATTGACCTTTGTACTTAAATACGTTTTCTGACCAAATAACTCAACAACTCAAGTTGCCTTGGTTGTTATCTTTAATTCTGTCTGAATATTTTTATATTAAACTAAAATGAATTGGTATAACACTTAAGGTCTTATGTAATAAAAAAATTGGCTGTCATTATTGAGGCCTACACATTCTGAAAATTTATGCATATATTATTTGGTAAGATTTTTGTAATAACTGAAATTGCTGCAACACCTATGGGGTCACAATAATTATTACCTTGTCACTATTCCCTTGACCAGTAGATAACCAATTATTTTTTGTTCACTGGGTCAGAAGTCATGCATAAATAACCTGATCAATGACTAATTTGGCCGCCGATAGGGGGATACATGTTTTACAAACTTATTCTTGTTTTTATGATATTTTAATGAGTTCTGATAGAAGCTATAAGTCTCATGTATATTTATTCATTTTTTTTTTTTTGGTTTAAAAAAATTTAAATACCCATAAAAAGACATTGATTTTTGATATTATTTAATATAACAGATAAGAACAAATTAGAAGTGTGAAAGAAGTTTGAATAATGCATTATATTTACTGGTAATTAGCTTCTTTATAAGTGTGTATATAACTTATATTTCACTGGAACAACATTGTTACAATTTAATTGATTTGCCAGATCAAAGTACATTTTTATATAAAATAGATTTAAACAAATTATAGGCGAAAGTTTGCAAATAAAAACTGCATGTTTTATATAACACCTTTCAGAAATTAGTAAATAAAAATAGCAAATAAATTTCTTTTTCATGATTAAATAATACCAATGACTTATTAAATTTAGTATGTCTCCAAAAATGTTTGGGAGACATATTGTTTTTGCCGTTGACGTGTGTCTGTCCGTCCATTTGTCCGTCTGCATTTAGCTTGTCTGTCCTTCACAGGTCAAACTACTGGTGGGATTTCAACCAAACTTTACAGGAGTGATCATAACCATCCTTAGTTGTACCGATCGCCGGCATGTTCCCCTTAACTGCACAACATGGCTGCCAAAACTAAAAATAGAAAAGTCTTGTCGGACATTCACAGGTCAAACTACTGGTGGAATTTCAGCCAAACTTCAAAGGGGTGATCAGTACCGTCCTAAGTTGTGCACGTCGCCAGCACTTCCCCTTCTCTGCACAAAATGAACGCCAGAGCTTAAATAGACAAGAGAGCCATGATGACCCTAGATCGCTCACCTGACCCATCAAACTCAATCGAACAATCACCTAGACAAGCATTCTGACCAAGTTTCATGACAGGTAAGTAAAAAATTTGACCACTAGAGTGTTAACAAAGATTATGTATATTTGAGCAGTGTGATCTAGTTTTTTACCCAGATGACTCATATTCGAACTTGACTTAGAAATCATCAAAACAAACTTTCAGACCAAATTCCAGGATATTTGGATCAAAACAGTAGCCACCAGAGTGTTAACAAGATTTTTCTATTTTTTATCTCCGGTGACCTAGTTTTCATCCGAGATGACCCATGTTCGAACTCATCCGAGCAATGACCTAGACAGGCATCCTGATCAAGTTTGATGATAATCAAGTCAAAAATGTGACCACTAGAATGTTAACAAGGTTTTTCCATATTTGGGCAGTGTGGCTTAGTTTTGACCATGTTCGGATTTGACCTAGAAATCATCAAAACAAACTTTCAGACCAATTTACAGGATATTTGGATCAAAACAGTAGCCACTGAAGAGTTAACAAGATTTTTCTATTTTAGCTCCTGTTTTTCATCCGAGATGACCCATGTTCGAACGTATCCGAGCAATGACCTAGACAAGCATCCTGACCAAAATTGATGACAATTGAGTCAACAAGAGGGCCATGATGGCCCATGTTCAAAATTGACATAGAAATCATCAAAACAAATTTTCAGACCAATTTACAGGATATTTGAATCAAAACAAAAGCCACTAAAATGTTAATAAGATTTCTATTTTTAGCTCAGGTGACCTAGTTTTTCATCCGAGATGACCTGTCGAAATAATCCGAGCAATGACCTAGACAAGCATCCTGATCAAGTTTGTCAAAAATGTGACCACTAGAATGTAAACAAGGTTTTCAATATTTGGGCAGTGTGACCTAGTTTTGACCCCAGGTGACCCATATTCGTACTTGATCTAGAAATCATCAAAACAAACTTTCAGACCAATTTAAAGGATATTCGGATCAAAACAGTAGCTTTTTATATTTTAAGCTCCTGTGAACTAGTTTTTCATCGAACATAGAAATGACCTATGTTCGAACTAATGTTAGCTATTACCTAGACAAGCATCTTGACCAAGTTTGATGATGATTCAGGCAAAATGTGACCGCTAGAGTGTTAACAAGGTTTTTCTATTTTTAGCTCCGGTGACCTAGTTTTTCATCCGGGATGACCCATGTTCGAACTCATCCAAGCTATCAACTAGATAAGCATCCTGACCAAGTTTGGTGATGATTTAGGAAAAAATGTGACCACTAGAGTGTTAACAAGGTTCTTTTTTTATCTCCGGTGACCTTGTTTTTCATCCGAGATGACCCATGTTCGAAGTCATCCAAGCTTTTAACAAGATAAGTATCCTGACCAAGTTTGATGATGATTGAGGCAAAATGTGACCGCTAGAGTGTTAACAAGGTTTTTCTTTTTTAACTCCTGTTCGTCCGAGATGACCCATGTTCGAACTCATCCGAGCTATCAACAAGACAAGCATCCTGACAAAGTTTGATGATGATCGAGGCAAATATGTGACAGCTAGAGTGTTAACGCACAAATGTGGACGGAGGACAGTCGGCGGACATTCAACGATCCTAAAAGCTCACCCTGAGCAAGCTCAGGTGAGCTAAAATGTGACCACTAGAGTATTAACAAGATTTTTCTATTTTTAGCTCCTCTGACCTAGTTTTTCATTCAAGATGACCCATGTTCGATCTCTTCCGTGCAATAAGCTAGACAAGTATCCTGACAAAGTTTGATGACGCTTGAGTAACAAATGTGATCGCTAGAGTGTTAACAAGGTTTTTTCTATTTTTAGCTCCTGTGATCTAGTTTTTCATTCGAGATGACCCATGTTCAAACTCATCCGAGCTATTACCTAGACAAGAATCCTGACCAAGTTTAATGATGATTGAGTAAAAAATGTGACCGCTAGAGTGTTAACAAGGTTTTTCTTTTTTTAGTTCCGGTGACCTAGTTTTTCATCCGGGATGACCCATGTTCGAACCCATCTGAGCTATTACCTCGACAAGCATCCTGACCAAGTTTGATGATGGAGGCAAAAATGTTACCACTAGAGTGTTAACAAAGTTTTTTTTTAGCTCCAGTGACCTAGTTTTTCATCCGAGATGACCCATGTTCGAACTTATCGGGGCTCTCATCTAGACAAGTATCATGAGCAAGTGTGATAATGATTCAGGCAAAAATGTGACCGCTAAAGTGGTAACAAGGTTTTTCTTTCTATTTTAACTCCTGTGACCTAGTTTTTCATCGGAGGTCACCCATGATCGAGTTCATCCGAGATATCAATCAGACAGATATTCTGACAAAATTTCGTGATGATTGAGGAATAAATGCGACTGCTAGAGAGTTAACGAACTAAATGTGGACGGACGACGGACGACGAACAATCATCGATCCTAAAAGCTCACCCTGAGCATACTCACGTGAGCTAAAAAATCTAATTCGGCCTTCACAGGTCAATCTTCAAGTGGAATTTTAACCAAATTTTACAGGAGTGATCAGAACCATCCTAATATTGTTGTACATATCGCCAGCATGTTCCCCTTCGCTGCACAAAATGGCCATCAGAGCTAATAATAGAAAAAATTTGTCCGACATTCGCAGGTCTCACTACTGGTGGGATTTCAACCAAACTTCACAGGAGAGATCAGTACTATCCATAGCTGTGCACATCGCCGGCATGTTTCGCTTCTCTGCACACAATGGCCGCCAAAGTTATAATAGAAAAATCTTGTACGACCTTCAAACTACTGGTGGCATTTCAACCAATCTTTACAGGAGTGATCAGTACCATCCTAAGCTGTGCACCTCTCCGGCACGTTTTGCCCCCTGATGCACAAAATGGCTGCCAGAGCTAAAAAAAAAAAAAAAAAATGTTCAGCCTTCATAGGTCAAACTACTGGTGCAATTTCAATCAAACTTTATAGGACTGATCAGTACCATCCCTAGTTGTGCACATCACCAGCATGTTCCGCTTCACTGCACAAAATGGCCGCCAGAGCTATTAATAGAATAATATTGTCCGTCTTTCACAGATCAAGCTACTTTTTCAATTAAACTTGACATAAGTGACCATAATCTGACATAGTTTAGGGAGAAATATGTTTTTGTGACAAGACCCCTAATAGTTTTCATTATTTTCAAATAAATGAGATACAATTAATCATATCTGCTATATTTACTACCTGTGAAAAAGAGTTAACTAAAATAATTAAATTAATAAAAAAATCATACTTTGATACATATTTGTTATATTTTATGTGAACAAGAATGTCATTTTTAAATAAAACTTCCTAATTATGAATAATGAATTTCAAAAATATGCTTTCAAGAAGTATTCTCTCAATGTCTATTATGCAAATATTAATATGATATTGAGTTATCTCAATTATCACTCAATATAATCCAATCCAAGTGTAACAACCAATGTATGTCAAAAATGTATGCTGATTAATCCCGACAGTATACAATACTATATAAAAAGTAGCCGAAACATTTGAACTATTGAAAATAATTCTTAAAACACTTTGAAATAATGTTTTATAAACAATAAGACAATCCACTCCTATACATGTAAATGAATTGTTAACGTTTTGAAAACAAAAAACAACCATCCATCTCCCCCACAAATGTGGTCATTTATTTATGTGCAAAATGCTTGCAGTAAGAAGTGAAATGCCACTTGTGGTTAAACTGGATTATAATTACCGGCCACATCCAGTATGGTAGCATTAACATTAAGGGTGTTAATGTATATGCCGCAAGACAGTAGGTCATAACTGTTTCAACACTGTATGGTTCACTGTAAAATAAAAAACGCCCTTACGCTAAGACACGATACAGCGTTTTAAACTATTTTCAAGAAAATAATTATTTTAGTAAAAACTGCAGACAATGAATATACGAGTGTAACAACTAATGTATTTCAATATAAAATATGTTTCATTAAGTTTTAAGTCTGAAATATGGAGGCCAAGCAGGCCTTGACAAATCCACTCGCTCGTTCGCATGTTAGGAGTAGAAGTTCGGGTCGGCAAGAAAAAAATCAAAGTATTCCGACAGGGCGTGAAAGATTCTTCCGATCCAACTGATGTTTCTATCAATAATTGATATAAATGAAGTAACTTGGTAAAAAAATCAAATTGCAGACGCCATTTATATCGTAATACCGTCAAACGAAAAACAGAAGAAAAAAAATTCATGCAATTTAACTAATTACTTCATGAGCATGTTACAGTTTAAAATTAAACTACTTTTTTGGGGAGATAATGTGTAAGCAGCCAAATAGCTTAGTTGGTAAAGCCGCGATACAGTATTTCAAGGGTCCTGTGTTCAAGTCTCGGTCAAGCTGCACATTCTTCTCACCCTGTAACATTTGGTCATTCAGATTGTTACAAATGTCTTGACCAGCAATTTACAGAAATTTACTACCTTTCCCGAAACACAAAATGTAGTTTGTTGTCCTTGTAATTGATTTTGTTTAGGAATTCATATCATATTAGTACATGTACCCGGCATTTTGGACTTTGAATTGCAATTCAAGACCATATTTACTTATTTTCTTTATATCTTTATAAAATTTTAACATAATCTTCTGTTTGTTTGTTTAGATATCGGTAGTTTATCAGGATGGCACATCAACTTCAGTTAGAGAAGGAAAACTACAGACAGTGGGTAAAGGCTGGTTTAGGACTAGGATATTTAAAAGAGGGACTCGTACCATTCTGTAATGACATAGCTGACCAACAACATAAGGATATCTTACAGAACATAAGGTCTACAAAAGCATTACCATCAACTGTGACGTGTGGCAGCTGTCAAGTTGATACTCTCAAGCCAGACCATAAGCCAGTAGGTAATGCTGGATTCAAAGTTTGTCCTCTTGGGCAAGTAAGATGCAGCTGCTGCTTTACTAAGGGCAAAATTGCTTGTCCGAACAACATATGTGGCGCCATCTATGACTATATTGTGCAACATCATGCATCTTCACCACCTGCTCCTCACTGGAAAAACAGCGATGCTCAACAATGGTCGGTAGACCCTTGGAGCATTTGTCAGTGTTTTATAAATGCTCCAGGGTACGAGCAGAAGCAATCTGCTAGTGAAACTGATTGTACTGGGTTATTACACCTATTGATAAATAACCAGTATTTTCATAGCCACATTGCATGCGATGTCACAGAAACAAACAACCTGTTTTCAAAGGTAAACCATTAATAAAAATCTTTAATCTATATTTTATCAGCCTCTATTGTAGTGTTAATGATGTATATTCAGCATAAAAGTAAAAGGGAAAATGAAATTTTAACTATGAAAGTTATAAAGTAATTCACCACTTTAATGATACACTACAAATGTAAAAAAATTTCACCAATACTTTTTGGTGCAAAATTTGATGTAACAATTCACAAGGCTTGTGGTTCATATTTACTGTAAACATGTACAAGTGTAGATTTGAATTTAGAACTTTTTGTATACAGGCTATTTCCCCCCTATCAAATTGGTCCATATATAGGCCCCATTCCCAATCAAAATTTTTTCCAATCCCAGAAAAAAAAAAAATTCCCAATCCGAGGTCGGTGATATGAAAAAATGTACCTCATTTTTATGCCCCGAAGGGTGGCATAAAATAATTGCACCCTCTGTCCGTCCGTCCGTCCGTCCTACTTCATTCGTGTCCGAACTGTATTTTTGTGATACATTGGGGGATTTTGAAATAACTTGTCTCAAATGTCTACCACATCAAGACGATGTGTCGTGTCGAAGATCCACGTCCCTACCTCAAAGGTCAAGGTCACACTATCATTTTGAAGTGTCACATTGTAGCAATTAGAGTAAATAGGTACACACATTTGTGTCCGGACGTAACCTCAGATCCCCTTTCAAAATTCCATTTTATTCAGCTCCGCCCATTGTTTTCTCGTTTAGGGCCAACGCATTCTTTTATTTGGGGATCATACGCCGCTTTTCATGGAATAACACCACTGTGTCACATTGATAACCGCCGTATGAACACATCTGCGGATGTTTCTAAATTCAAAATTCACCATTTTTGTGTTTAAGTGGTGAAATCTGCTTAAGCCGGTGCTAGGGGGCGTGAACGGTAACATGCACTTTCCAGTACCGTCCATTAACAGACTCAATTAAACCGAGCCTGCAACTTTTTTACAATTTTGCCTTGTTAGTTTTCTTTAGAGATTCTGTTTTCCACTTTTCTATGTCATGCATCGAATGATTTTAAAATAACTAGGCATAAATGTCTACCGCATTTTTAAAGTTAAAAATAAATATTATTGAAACTGATCAGAAATTAACAGATTTCCGAAACGTCCAGGACCTCTACACCTATACAACAAGAGATGTCACCCATTCAATCAGATTTATTTAGGTTTTGTAAATAATATTAACATCTTGAATGCTAACATATTTTTCCCAAATAATAAATTTCACAATTTTTTTTTTTTTCAAATTGAAAATTGACACAATACCCCTACTTTGCCATATGGTATTTTCCCATAATACAGGAAAAAGACCTGGTACAATGCATGATTGCATCTTATAGGTAAGTACAATAACAATTTTTTTAACAAAACAATTTGTATTGCTTAACAATGTATATTTTTGGATAGAATACTAATGAACTTGTGTTTTCTATTTGATAGGTTCGTCAGTACAGGAATGATATTTTTCACTCAAGCAGCTTGGAATTAGAAGAAAGTGAGGCAAATTCTTATATTGACGATATGATAGGAGTTCTACAAGATGGTAAGGAGCTATTACAACGATCAGATGCACAGATAGCAGTGAAGAAACTTCAAGATGTAAGTTAAATAATGAATTATGTCAGTTTGAAATCTTTATTGAGTAACTTATAATGATTTAAGATAACAAGCCTCTTAATTTAGTACAAAGTTTAGGTGACAAAGTTTGAAGTGGTAAATTATAGTAAAATTCAAAAGATAATTTCCTTAAGTTAATTGATAAAGTCACATAAAATACAGATGTACCTTTAAACTGTTAAAATATAAGGAAAAGAGATCTAATTGTTTAGTACACTTTAACTTACGAAATCCGGAAATTCTTAAATCAGACAAACTTCTAAAATTGGAACAATTTTCAGGGTCCCGAAATTCTATATAATTCTTACCTTTTCAGGACTTCTAAATTCTGAATTCCTAAAGTTTTTGTGTTAAAGTTTGGATAATATCAATTAAATATTTACTTCCAATATCTGGAATTTGAAAACAACTGTGAAGGTTTATTATACTTGAGATAATAAAACCTCCAAAAAATTTATATCTTCCAATTAGCTATGATTTATATCTCTGAATTTTGGTACTTGTAAATTGTGAACTCTAAACGATTTTGCAAAATGTAATTATTTTCAAATTAGCTTTGGCAACCATATATATTGACCCCTATTAGAACCTCAACCAGTCAAGCATATCAAACCCTTGATTTAAGTGTGACAGTAAGATACTGAGAAGTATTATAAAAATCCCGGAACCTTCTAAAAAATCGGACTTTTCGGCTAGTCCCAGGTAACACTGAAATATATGTTGAAATGAACAAAAGTAAGAAAAAAAGAAGTAGATAGCTAGATACCTATACCAAACACCCTAATATAAAAGTAAAATTAAGAAGTCCACTGAAAAATAGTGAAAGTAAAAAAAAATAAACGAGCAATTCAGATGATTTTGAAATAAAGTTTGACCTTATGTATAATTTGTTGTATAGAAGAGTACATATTATAAATCCCTTAGCTATATTTTTTTCTCTGAAAGAAAGTATAACAAAAATATTTTTCATCAGCTCAAGAAGAAAGACTTCATTATAACTACTGAAGGGTTTGAAGAAATTCTGAGACAAATCAAGGAAGAAATGGAAAATGCTCCAACTAAAGAGGAATATGAAGAGCTCAAAGCACAGATGTCCAAACTTAAAGAGGTAAAACTTCAATTGTTTGTTTCCAGTTAATAAACTGGTGCATGTATTTCTTACATCAATGGTTTCAGGAAGGTTGTGAATTCAGTTGTCCGTTGTTACAAGGGCTGATAAAAAAATTAACGAGACTTAATAGAAAATTAATTACTTATTGAATGCATTTGCATAAAAACACAGAATATAAATTGGAATACATGTATATCCCCTACATGATAGAAAAAAATCAACAGTAGTATAGGGGTCTGCTGTGCGTCCTAACTGCGCATGCGCGACGCAATATTGGATTCTATTTTTAGAATGACATTGTTCTATTTTTAGAATGTGATCATCCGTCTGTTTTAAAAAAAATATTTTTAATCTCCCGGAAGTATACGGAGCTGACTCGTATGCCCGAACTAGGGCTTCAAACGCGGATATTGTAGGTCAGGTCCTTGGCCCTAGACGGAGAGATAAATATTATCATTTATAAATGAAATGTCTGTAAATAAATACCTGCTAAACATTTTAATTAATAAGAGCAAATAAACTAGAATTAAAAAAAAATACAAACAGCTTATGTTTTTTTTAATATGGTCAAAATAGACAATATACATTGAATAAAATAGTACTTGTTTACTTCTAGGCGGTCCGAAACCAAATGACACAAATCATTAGTGTATTTCTAAATGCTCTGATCGCTAGTGTATCAAACGTGATCGTAGTCACAGTGTCTGGCGTACGTTTATTTCGGGACGGATGTGCGGAAAATGGTCTATTTAACTGTCAAAATTAATCTCTTTAAAGTTTCCACTTGGTCTGGCGTATGTTCATTTAGGGACGGATATGCGGACAATGATCCATTCAACTGTCAAAGTTAATCTCTTTAAAGTCGCCACTATGATATACATTTTGGTTCTCGATTCGATTTTTAGCCGTTCTCGAGTAATGGCCCTTTAACGATTTTTAAACCATTTTTTTTTAAATGTCCATAAAGCCCTTAGATATGCTGTTTGAAAGATCTCTGCGAGTAGATACAGAAATGTATTATTATATGGATCTATCTCTTACTGTTTCTGAGATAGAAGAGTTTGAATATGGCAGACAAAATCACTCATGCGGAAAAACGCGCATAACCTTTTCGTTTATGAACGAAAAATAGTCGTGTTTGGTATCAAATTGAAGATCTTGACGAGTACATTTTAGTCACGCGATCAAACCGGGTGTCAATTTACTCGTGCGTGAAATCCATTTTTTCTCCACAACCAACGGACTGATTTTATCAATACCTGTATCGAACGAAAGTTTCGTATTACTCACTAGATTCTAAAAATGTATACTTTTGTATCGCTGACTCGGATAGGGCCAGAGAAATGAAGTAAAATCACTCAAGCGTAAAATGTGTATTTACGCCTTCCTTAGTCAATATAGCCCGGTCATGTTTGGTATCGTACGAAATGTTTTAAGGCGCTCTTCATGAATACAGACTAAAATTGAAATAAAAATCACTAATGCATAAACACTCCATTTCTATTAAACATTTTCCATTGAAAATACTGTACTCGAAATATATAAACTCAACTTACTGCTTAATGATGTTTACTCTATAACGTCAAATCACCAAATGACTGAAGTCACCACTGCAATACATCATACGCATGCGCTGATCTAAATTTAGAAATGACATTGACCAATCTAACAGCAGTTTCTCTATTCTTACGGACTGAATGTAAACAATCAGACAGACGGATTACTTGACCAATGAGAAAGTGTATATTATGAGCAAGTGACCTAGGAGTATCAAGCAGTTTAACCAATCTAAATGGAGAACAATCCTCACTCAGATTATATAAAATAACACGTCGGTTAATGTAAACCTTTCAAAACATCCAATGGAACAAAAACTGGACTTTTCTCAATGAACCAACATACCCTATAGATAAAGCTTGGCAGTGCTTATCAGAACGAGATATGTACATGGACACTACAAAGATAGACATTGAAGGTGGTCAATTACACTGACAATACATCATAAATAACAAGGCAATAGAGGTATTCATATCTTTTATTTGTATTTTCATGCGAAAAATGAAAAAAACAAAACCTGTAAATTTATAGTTTTATTAACATACAACATTCTGATACAGTAATTATGGTGTTAAGAGTAATGATATATTTTGTCTAGTAGCTTTTGTCATTGGTTGTTTCTTCAGTTTCATTATTTTAGACATTCATTCATTCAGCTTCTTCCGTTGTGGATTAAATTCTTTGACAATGTCTCTCATTGATTTTCCTCCATATCGTTTGATGACGTAGTACGCCCATTATACATAAGGTATTTCTTGTTTAGTATCTTCTCAAATCCAACATCATAGCTTTGCGGGCAATTTCCCATCGAGTCGAAAAATTCGTTAGGGCCTTTCGTGGGAAAATAAAAAAAACACCCAATGTTTTCCCGGGATCATTGCTCGTATCGGTTTGTGAAATTACGAATCTTCCTTTTTTGTTTTCGAATTTGATATATTTTCTAACTGATAATTGTTCATTTTAGTAAGTCAAGTGACTCAAGTCATTGTCCGTTTGGCGCTTCTTACGCTCCGGTATACTGGAATCTCTGTTCTGTTTAACTTCCAATTTTGCAATTACAATCGCTTGGGCCACGTGGCTTACCAAATTAACTAAGGAACGCTGTACATTTTTTAGCTCCTCTTCCGCTAATTTTAGCTTTTCCTCAGTGGCTTTGAGTTTCGCTTCTTGTGTTTTGACTCTTCTACGCGAATGGCCGCTACCTACAATGTAACGGCCTTTATGATCGGCTTTAACGTACTCGTCCCTCAGGTCCATTGAAATGTTGATACCATTTCTCTGAATCATCTTTATAAGGGACTCATTTCTGCTGTTTATGATCGTAAACTTCTATGGAGCCCATTGTAACGTTGTAAACTTAAGACTGGCGATTTTTCTTACGCATTTTCTTCCTCATCGTTTTTATCGTTCTCATCATTAGAAATGTTGATGTCATGACTGGGCCATAGAACCTCAAACAGATCTGTTCTTATTTTAATGGCTTGTCGAATAGATTCCTTAAAACTCATATCGTGTTGATGTCTAAGTATCCTCTCGGACTGGAAAATTTGCTGTTGAGTAGGGTCCTTTTGCAATACGTAAAAATCAATGAGAAATTGTGCATAATTTTGTCTCAAAATTTTCCTCAAATGCGGCAACACATCATTTGCAGCGCGAGAAAGAGCATTATCAAAAGAGTACTCTTGATATATGTAATTGCTTAGTCGTTCCTTTAATTGTTCCGAATTAGCCTGTCTGAGGGGAGTCTGAAATCTTTGATCCCATATGTCATGAATTGCACGTTCTTCTTCTTGTTCCTCTTTTATGCGCCCACCAGGAGGTCCCGTAAAAAAAGACTTTCTTTTCAATCCAATTTTTTCGTCTTCTGACTAATCTTTCTCCTCCTCCTCATAATCATCATCAACATCATTTAAAGTATTGTCAGGAAAGTTTTCTTCTCCGATTAACTCATTTCCGGAATCATCCGCTGGCTGTCGTATCCTAGCTTGACTTTCAAAAATGTTTTCGCGCAAACGGTCATGTTCTGGAGTAGAGGATTTCAAGTCTACCACTAAATAACCGTGTGGTCTTGATGTCGCTTGTTCGAAGCGTTTCATAAAGATGTTATAGGAGGAAGGATATATTCTTCTCGCTAACGTAGGCACCTGCTGTCTGTCAATAGGGTTATTAAACAATACTAGGTACTACGTATTCAACGCGATATCTCTGCAGGCTTTTCCTTGAGAAAATATATTTTTAGTCAGATACACGATAGATATGTTCCTGTGGTGACCGCCGGTGATTATCTGGTCGCATTTGGCCTCTGTCATCAAATCGTCAAAAACGATCAAGTTCCTTTTACGCGCGTCGATATACATTGGACTATTCAAGTGGTCAAGAATGCCATGTACAAATTCTATCCCGGGTATTCTACGCTGAAGTTCGTCGTACAGAATCTGCCATTGCCCGTAACACCAAATGATGCGCTCCAGTGCCGGACTTACTAGATCGGATAAAAGCAATGTTTTAGTCCATTCAGTTTTTCCGCTACCGCTAGGCCCGGAGACAACCATGGAAAACGGATGCTGAAACGTTATCTTTTCTGACCCAGGGGTTATTTGTGTTGATTGATGTTTACCTCTTACAATTTCGTCAGTCTCGTGCAGGTTACGATGATGTCTCAACATGGCGTCGCGTCTTGAGAAAAGTTGTTGACAAATTGGACATTAATTAATTATTAAAGAAAGACACAGAAGTACACTGAAGTATTCGTTCTTATGCTGGTTAGTCACCGTTCTTACGTTGGAATGAAGGGTTGTTGCTGTTGTTGTTGGTGGGTGGTGGTGGAGATGGTGGTGGTGGGTGGTGAAGGTGGCAGTGGTGGTGATGGTAGTGATGGTGGGCGATGGTGGTGGTGGTGGTGGTGGCGTTGGAGGTGATGCTGGTGGTGATGGCGTTGAAGGTGGTGGTGGTGGTGGTTGAGGTGGTGGTGGTGGTGAAGGATGTGGTGGTGGAGGTGGTAGTTGCGGTAGCTGTGGTGGTAGTGGTTGTGGTGGAGTTGGAGGTGGTGACCGGTGGTGGTGGCGGTTGTGGTGGTTGTAGAGGTGGTGGTGCCGTTGGAGGTGGTGGTGGAGGTGATTGTGGTGGTGGCGTGTGAGGTGGTGGTAGTTGTGGTGGTGGTAAAGGTGGTTGAGGCGGTGGTGGTGGTGGCTGTGGTTGTGGTGGAGGTGGTGGCGGTGGATGAGCAGGAGATAAATAGAAGACAAATCCTGTTTCCAGTCATACATGTTTATTGATAAAATATACGCAGAAAAAAATATTCTTACAAAGAAACACAAAAGATATGTTACAATACAAAAGAATATAACGAAAGTGTCTCGATGTCCCGTAAATGATGTTCTAAAATTTTGAAAAAATGTTCCTTCGCTTTGCGATATTCGCGTCGTGTCGCACTTGGTAGC